CTTACTAGCTTGATTTTTTTTCACGTTTGCTATTCCAAACACCATATATTAAACTGTTCGGAAAGAAATGCGCGTTTCTGCTCAAAGTTTTTTTATTATAAAAACGAAACTAAACACGATCAGTTGAAAAGGTAATCTCCATTGCTATCAATGACTTGTTGCCAACGTTTACGCAACGAATGGATTCCTCTTCTGAAGAACTCTGCCGGCTGCGACTCAAAGTAGTTGGACACCCAGTGTTGGACTTCTTCGCGGGTTTTGAACTTTTTCTCGGCCAGGGTGTGCTGCATCGACCGGAACAGATGGTAATCGGATGGTGCCAGGACTGAGCTGTATGGCGGATGAGGCAGGATTCCCAGCCCCTATTCCTCAATTTTTTCAAAATGATTTTCGCGATCCATACCCGCGACCGCACGCAACGGTGCGATACCCATTCTCCGCACCTGTTTGTCTTGCCAACTGCCAGATCATGTCCATGGATGGTAGAGTTTGAGCAGCCAAAATGCGTTGCCAATTCTTGGCGTGGATTCAACTCAATGACGGACTTTAACACTTGGTCATCGACGATTCGAGGCCGACTTCCATGTTTTTCGTCCTCTAACCGTTTATTACCGTTTTTAAAACGCTGGAACCATCGTCGAAACTGGCTTTCTGATAGGACTTCTTCACCAAATACCTCAGATGATGAGTTTCAGCAGCCGATTTGCCTTGCTTGAAGTCATACCACATGCAAGCTCGCAAAAGGAATTTCTGGTCATGCATTTCCTAAACCTTTTTTCTTCAGAAGAAAAAACAAAGTAGACATAAACAAAAATACATCATAAGATGCACAATAATAAGCTCTTTCTAATAGGCAGAGATGTTTCGAAAAATCATGTATAGTAGGAGAAAAATAAATGGACATATTCAACGCGCATTCCTTTCCGAACAACCTAATGCATATGGTGAAGAAGATAACAAGTGAAGTTAGAGTTCCGTAACGGTATTCGTGTAATCAATAAGAATTCAGAGTGTCCGCTATGACGAAGTGGAGGTAGAGGCTTTGTTTCCCTTTCGGAGCATACGTTGATGATACGCAACTGTTGTACTACCCCCTTAATCAACTGGCCCAACTTCAGGGGAGCTGTTCGAGAATCAATTCATTTGCAGTTAAAAAAAACTTGTGACGACTCACCTCTGATGTATTACTGTCATATCTTCTGACATTAGAATATGTACATCTGTCACCTTCATTTACATGTACGCCATAGCCGAAATTCTGAAGTGAGATCATTATGAATAAGATTCCTCACTTTATCACTATCGACCAGCCACGCTTATGACTGAACAGGACAAGTCAGCAGATAAGGCGTGGGGAGTTTCGCCAACCCCTGTTAGTTGCCGTTTTGTTGGAAGAGAAACCTGTGTTCAACAGAGAACTGTTCTCGCATGTATAACCAAGCTTTTAGACTTGGCTCGCATGAAGACTATCTTATTTAGTAAGGGCAACGGCCGAATGAGTAGCACGGAAACGTTTTCGGCATAGCACGCAATGGTCTGCTTTTTACATGTATAGTGGTATTAGTTGCTTATCATTACCGTAGTTGGTGACGTGAATGTATCTGTAAGGTGTTTGAGTAACAGTAGGGGAGGGAAAACCGCTCCGACTGAAGCGTAAGCAGCAGCTAGACCTCGGTAGTAAAGCGGAATAAGCGTGTGGGATGAAACTCACTCAGTATCAAGGCCAACGATATCCGTTTTTAGCAGCTGTTCGTGAATCAGTTTCGTTCCGGGCTTAAATTCTGACAGGTTATGATAGAAGGTATTATTTTTATTATGGCTGGTAAGCCATGGAAGGGATGAGTGGTTAGAAGTGTCGGCTCACATCAGCACTCAGGAAAACAACGAGTTAGATGTCTTCCGAGGTATAGCCATGCGTTACAAACATTGCGAAAAACTGTGTCGGTACTAGCGTCGCCCCAGGTTAACAGAACGAGGGTTCTCCATGAGAGCTGATGGAGAAACCTCGTTATAACAATAATGGTGAAAGTCACAAAAGGAGTCGGGTTTAAGACCAGGACATTATGCGAAAGTGGCGCACGAAACATTCGTCTGAGTTCTGTTGACGGTGTGCAAGGGGTATATCGAACAATGAACGATCTCGGCTAAACAAGTGTCAAGTTCCCCTAGAAACAAGTGTCGCAATAGAGTGTAGAATTTGGCGGTGGAAGCTGCACGTAAAGCAGAGGAAGACCGCGAACGAAGAATCTTGGGATTAGCCTTTGAGACCCTCAGAGACCAATCCTGCTAAGTTGGAGTAATGCTGTGGAGGTCGTCTACAGTGTGCAAGGGAAGTTGAAACTCGAGGGGAGTTAAGAAGTGACAATGAAGTATGACTCTGGAAAGGTGAAAGTCAGCAACGGCCGATACTACCGCAGCAGAGGCAAAAAAATCGGACCTGATTGCTTGTACGAGGAGCTCGACGGTGGAAAAAGGAGATGTATCTATTCAGGATGGCCAAATCATGGCATTGATCCACTCAAGGCATCAGAGTAGTCAGAGCTTAGAGGGGCGCAGTCTGTGACATCCGTGGGAGTCAGTTGTGGAAGTGCGTGGATGGAAAGAATACTTCGATAGACTTATGAACCGGAAAATTCTATCGCGAGATTAGCTCCCATATTGAAGCGATAGCGATAGTTACATCCATCACAGTGTGGACCGAAACTTAGGTCCAGAGCTAGATGGCCTACCTTGTTCTAGAATACTCTCATTCAAAAGAGAAATCTCAGGTGCAGAGATTGCTCTGGAGGGCGTTGCATAAGAAGCACCATTGGGGTTCGCAATTTCAAGCGAAAGAAAGGTGCGAGCTGAAGTATAGTGGGTCCAAGCTGGCGGCGCATACCATGGAGCTGTACGAGCAGCTGTTTGGCTCAGGATTGATGGAGCTGGTCCATATCGAACAGGAGCAGTTTGAAATTCGCCGGGATGCCATTTCCATAGCTAGACAAGTGCTGGAGATGTATGGAGAAACACACAGACATGTTGTCCTAGACATGTTTCTCAGCTTTCCTCAACAGGCTTCATCACAAAAGATTTCAAAGATAGATTGTTGAGGCCAACGTATACGCAGGAAACACCTCTCCGATGGCGAACGGCAGAAAAATTCTTAAGACAAGTTGTAGAAGTGGCAGCATGTGTTGACGGATAATGGGCTCCGACTAATCATGAAGAAGGTCCAGTTTATAAACTCTGCAGAGTGCACGGAGCCAACCGTAGATGGTCTTGGGCAGCCATCGCTAGAATGGGTAGTGAACTAATCGCTGATGGCCGCGTGGACCAGACTGTAGAGGCCCGAATAAAGAGGAATTCAGTATTAAACTTCGTAATCGACGATGCTCAAAATGCTCTGAGGAAAGGTGTACCGAATAGCGGTGAGGTCTGTGATGCTTTACGGTAGCGAATACTGGTTCGTAAGAGAAAGTCACTAAAGACATCTCCACTCCGCTGAATGAGTATACTCAGGGAAGTCTGCGATCGAATTCTACTGGATATTATTGGGAACAGGGGACGCGTATGCAAACAGCCCCTGTACAGCTACGTACAAGGCTACAGGATTATGTCATTAAAAGGCAATCAAGTTCAAGGCGGAAGGAAAACGACCACATGGAGCTCGAAGAAAAAAAGGAATAATGTGATTGAGGATTCATAAGGAACCAGATAACGGCAGGAGATGCCTTTCATATTAAAAGGATGAAGTTTTTGGCGTTAATCAATCCCTTCAGAGGGATGCGCCCCCGCACTCGACTTCCATTTAGAATCGTAGTGGCGTCATGAGTGCGTATGTGTTCTATGCAATGACTTGCGGTAGCCAGTCAATGTACAAGTCAGTGCTTTTATCCTCCCAGACGAGTCTGGTACCATTTGACCGACCGCGGAGGGATGGAAGGCTGTGTTGGTCTAGGCGGGCATCGGTCCGGGATTCGAACCCCTGACCGTGCGTGTGAGATAGTGCGCCACTTACCACTCCCCCACCTCCGCCCTGCCTCACATGTAGGTAGAGAGAGAAGGCAACAACTCACGAAAATAGCGAACTGGATTGAAGCTAGGAAGAGAGAGAGGAAGAAGTAGAAGGGAGGAGTAGAAAGATAATAAGCATAACATACCATATAGTAGGGACAGAAATCCGCTTCAGTCACTAAGCCACATCCATTGAAGAACTGTCCTTTATTGTCACGATACAGATCTCCCACATTGTAGTCATACTCTGGCGAGAAACCTGGCGGAAAAGTTCCGTTCCGTGTCTTTCCAAGGGTACACTTAAGTTTCTCTAATCGTGTCGTTGTACACCTGCAAGGGCAGAGCCTTATCACATAACACAATATTACGAATGATTCCCCCGATCATGACTTCTGCTGAAAATCGTTCTATCCCTTTGAGAGAACAGCAAACAATTGTTGATTTTGAATTTCAAAGCAGAAATGTTCGATTAATTTGGTGTAGTATTGTAAGTACTGCCATTGCTGTCATGTAAGCATTATTGGTCGAAGCACTAGATTATGTATACAGCAGAATTCTGAAGTGTTCAATCGTGTGTTTTGGCTAGTAATACATTAGATATTCTCCCATTAACGTTCTCAACGGTATTGAAAAACAACTATAAGATTATTCCCCTTTCACGGACGGCAAATCCTATTCCATCATGAAAAGGCGAAGTGTTTGTTCTCTTGCAGGCAAAAAAAAAACCCGGGTCACACCATCTTCAGTCACACCAACACATCAACAGTGATGAATGTATTCTTGAGCATGGTACGGCATAGGAAATCGAGGTGAATAAGAATACTGCTAGGGTAAGCCATCACAATGCTGCAGCTTCAAAGCAGGAACCCATGCTAAACTGTAAAGGGTCAGATGTAAGTGTGGAATATGACTATTACCTTACACTTGTATCAGCCAAGCCTAAGCAACCACTGAGGAGCATCGCTCACCTAGCGTCTTCATAAACTGTGCAAAACGGATATGGATTTGTTGGGTTCATCTTCATCCACGTCAAGCAACTCTTTGTGACGAAAGCGCAACCAAGACTTTTCCCCCACTCCATATCTTCGGCCTGACTGAAAAGGTGACTTTTCTGGGGTGAATGGAGGAGCTCCTACGTGACGAAGATCAACTGCGTCGAGAAGAACAACTCACTCATAGTCCACTCTGTACCACCCGGAGTCTTCGAATAATGCCAACGTCAGACGAGATAGGGCGAACACTTGCGTGGCCGTACTAGACAACAACTCATTCTTAAAAGCGAAAGTCCGTTGACCATTTTTTCCTGATACTGAAGAACAGGGTCATTGCAACCGAGCAATAGGACCTAGGGCTTGCGAGGTCATGTTGAGATATGTCACGGTCTTTTCTCAGGCACGCTGGACATGTGTCTGCGTGGACACCTGGCTGTCTCGACAAATGGTTGTTCCTGAAATCGCGGACTTCACACCGTTTGGGAGTGGGTATGGGTACATTCACACAGAACTGGATGGACGCGGCAAATCGCGCGGCGGAATTCGTGGCGATTCAAACGGCTTTAGCGCCTACTAGTAGGGTCCAAATTTGAAGTAGAGTCAATTAGTATGATCATCTGACCATACTAATGTACTCTACTTCAAGTTTGCGCCCCAGTGGTAGGTGTCAAAGTCGTCCTAAATGCCACGAATCTCGCCGCGCCATTTGCCGCGTCCTTTCAATTCTGGGTGAATGTTCCGTCCCCCTTTGGGAGTACATTTTGCGATATGTTCGATACTTGTAATGAACCTCCATAAAAGGCTGCTTAGTTTATAATGCTGGTGGCACTGCCTACACAGAAGTCGCCTTCACTAACTTTCACGAATAGATGAGGAAGAAGAGTAGAACTTGTTTGATCTCCACGAAGCATTGTCCGTAAGAGGCGCTTTGAGGCTGCTTATGTTAAGTCCTTTGATGTAACGCTGTCGACCTGGCAAATGCTCAGAAAGTGCTGCCTTTTCACTAGAAGTGTTGGTGGGTTAATAGAGCAGTGTGGAGATTAATAGTTGTGGTGGCTTAACGACTGATCAACCGTACTTATATTTCCTAATTTGCAAACCCTTTCAAAACGCTTCCAAATTAATTTCGAAATGCTTGAATGTTTATCCGAATAAGCAAACCTATGCTCATACGCCTTTCTAACTCGCCTTCCCCACTTCCCTTAAGACTTCCAAGAAAAAAAATCGAAAACTGCTCAATGCTGCAGCTCACGCAACTCTTATTGTTGAAGGTGTCTACCTGTCCGTCGCAAGTACTCGAATTGTCACTCGAGCAAATGCTGAGCTAATATCTGTCAGCATATTTGGAAAGTTATTCTCTTTTCGTTAGTTTGCCTATTACCCTCCTTGCTCTCATCAGGTCGGAAATTAAAGGACGTTTCTGAGTTAAACCAAGCTCGCACCTCGAAGACACGTTTCTCCCAATGGTTGCCAGGCGCTAGCGGACCACCCTGATTTTCAAGTTCTGCTCCCTCCAAGCTTGAACAGTTGAAGTGCCGTCGAGCTTCTTCTGTGACCTTTGGTGTCACTATCATGTGAACATCATGTTTCACCTGAAATTTCACTTCGTCAGACTTTCTTACTTCCATTTCGGGGGGAAAGAGCTGTCTCTTCTGCTTTTGAAGAAGTAGTAAAAGTATGTGTTGTAGGAACTGCTGCTTACCGGCCCTTTTGAAGTTTCCCAATCAAGGCGCGTGACTCGGCGGATTACATTGGGGATAGGGACAACTGATCCGTTCCTGTTAATAAAAGAGGCTTCTCATTGTTTCAGTATCTTCAGCTCAATTATATTAGGTCGCATCCAAAGCTTGCGGCTGCAGCGCTCAATCCTGATGAGTCCTGAAGAGCTCGTGGTTGATCTCTTTTTTTCGATGTAATTACGCAATATCGTGCAAGATAGAGGCCATTGAATTAGATAAGCTAGAAAAGTCTGTGTTTAAGTAGGGTGCGTCATAAATATGCTAAAGGCACAGTTCACGATAATTTTGGGTAATCCAGATTATGATGAAAAATGGAAGACAAGATCGAAACTAGTGCGACTGAGGTGAAGAAACTGCGCGCATCGGTGTTTCCAAAGTGAAAAAAGGCTTCGAAAACCGTCAAAAATGGGGTTGGACGAGAATGAAACCAGAAAAATGAAGAGGAATGGGGCGTTTGGACGAGCTAAACAGTGTGTTTCACTGCGCGCCTGTGGGTCCTGGTGCGAATAACAGACAATGGTAAGCAAAAATTCATTCACTTATAAGCATAAATAAACAAAAAAACCTAGTAACANAGCTGATTGTGCGTGGGTCCTAGAACGAATAATAGCAGTCCGTATTGTCTCGACACTCGCCTAATGTGACACCATCGAGGGGCGGGAAAGCGAACTACGGCGGCAACGGGGCTTCCTCTATGCCCTAAGCGCCGAGATTGTGGGAGCGAGAGGGTCCCTTCTACCACCCATGGGGGCGCTGAGTATTCCCAAAGGAAGAACTCAGTAACCTTCTTTATCGTGAACCGTGCCTTTAACAGCTTTACCGATAGCCCAGTTTACTCGTTTCGACAGTTTTCGAATTCTGCGCTTTACTTTGATTTGATGTTTCTGTTTAATGCTGTTTTATCGCCGCGTTGCGAAAGTCTCACTCGGTGGGCGATATATGGACAAAACTTCAGTCTCGGACGGGACTCGAACCAGTACTTGTGTTTCCGGGCATCGTGCTCTACCCCTTACTGCTCCATGTAAAGCTTGCAGCTTGACGGTTCTGTGGTGACCGGCTCAACACGTTGATCGTATGAGCGCTATAAGCTATAGCATATAAGCTATTAAGAAGGCGAGGGCAAGCGTGGGTTCTGTAGTGTAAGGGATAGAGCACGGTGCTCGAAAAGCAAAAGTGCGGGTTCGAGTCCCGTCAGAGACTGAAGTGTTGCCCATATGTCAGCTTTGAGACTTGCAGCTGTCTTCGCTTGCCTTGTAGGATCCTTACGAGGTTGTTGCTCCGTTCAGGACCTGACAGTTTGAAATGAATTTCTTTCGACGTTTGGCTTCGAATCGGTCCCAGTTACGACCTTTTTTTGAAGGTATTTGTTGGGTAATAACTGCGTGGCGAAACCTACAGCATTCCGACGAAAGTAGCTACCGAACTGAATGTATTTATTACTTTGATGGAGGACTCATTCTCGAGCGCATACAGTTGTATCTAGCGAAAATTCGAAAGCTACATAAGCTTTTTGGCGAAAAGAGCTCCGAGCAAAAAAGCAGATGTTGTGCTCCATGTACATGTAGACCTTTTTTTTCACTGACGAGCCTGTACTAGGTATGGAGGAGTCTCAGGTCACGCGTACGTTTCACTACGACGAGTGCCGAAACCATTTAGGAGGGTCACTCCATCACTCGTAGCCCTTGTCATACATCCACAATGTTTCGGGCTGTAATCTATGTCATCAGAGCAACATCGCTTAATTTCGGCGGATAAAGGTACTGATATCAACCCATTGACGACCATCACGTTCGAGGGGAAAAGCAGCTTGCAGTCTACATGTGGACTGCATGGTCCCGGACGACCATTTTTTGAATTTTGAGTTTAGAGTTGCTCAATATTTTGTGAAATCCAAATTTAGTATATGAATAACGATGGCCGCACGTGGAACTTGAATGTTAGTCGGCTACTGAGGTATTCTGATGAGGAGCACTTCCTTACTCACTAAGCTTTTCAGAGAAATAGATCATTAGAGGGCCACATGTTTAACTTCAAAAAAAAAACACCGGTGAGGTGTAAAACTGTCCAAATTAGTGCGGAAGGTAGATATACCCTGAAAACCAAAAGCAAAAATATAAGTGTGATGTCTACGCTTATTGCTGTTATCTGTAAAATTGCAAAATCAAAAGATTTCCTGGGACCACGCAGTATGTAGTTTGACTTAGAACTGATCTTATGTTTTGACAAGAAAGATCGTTAAAAAGTGAGATATAGATAAATAAAAGAAAATATAAAACAGCAGTCCACATGTGGACTGCACGATCGCTAATGGGTTAATCGCAACATATTTTCAGAAACATTTGCAAAAAAGTGCTGCTGATAAAAAACTATCCCAAGTGTACGTTTTGAAATCTCCGGGGCACCGGCTCACTAGTGGAAGAAGATCAAGAGTGGTGCTGAAAAATGGGCGGATGTGGTGTAATGAGAATGGCGCACTATCACACTCGAATGGACAACGGTTCAAATTCCGGATCGGTATACGCCTGAACCAATCAAGCCTTCCGTCCACGGGTCGATTAAATGGTACGAGCCTCGTCTGAGAGAATAAGTGCACTGACTTGTGCATCGGCTGGAAACCGCAAGCCATTGTGTACGCCACATATGCATACAATAGATCACTACGCTTCTGAATGGAAGCCAATTGCGGGGCGCATTTCTCAGACGTGATTCATTAACGCCCAAAGACTTTAACCTTTATTTGGGGCGCATCTCTGTTTACCATTACCCTTTGTAGCTCAAAAACAGATGTAAAATGATTTCACATGACAAGCGGAACGCAATGGATTAGACTGAGCAAACGTGCCGCGATTTTTCTTTCCTCACAGATCATCAGACGTCTTTGCATCGCTTTGACTCGTACAGTAGCGCTAGAAGTCTTCGGTATCAGCCGTAACTCCTTTCCTACTGGATCTAATCATGCGAAATTTCTATATTTGGAGCGTGGGTGTATTGTGAATATTTACCACTATCAACCTGCAATCTGATCACGTTCCAGATATTCTAAGGAGCATGAACTCAAAATCGACTGAAAATACAGATGATGGCCCTTTAAGAATTTCTTGCCTTTTTGTCCTGTCTAAAGTGTACGAGCGGTAA